CATCGGTGATCGGAACACTATTTTGGATCAAATGACATTTATAAATAGTGTTTGGACAACTGATGTTTTTTTTATGTCTCAACTAGCCTGAAGAGCTCTAGATTTAGCGAAACACGTCAGTGACAATGGATATTATAAATATAGTGTAGTTGGAATATTATTATTCATTATGCACTGTTATAGTACTAAAATCTACTTTTCATTGTTTTGAAGTTAGAATTCTCATAAGAAAGATGTTTATCATATTGTTGTTGGGTCTGGCATGGACTGATGACTAGATTGCAGGTTTGAACCCCATCACCAAACATGCTTGCCTTTTACATACTATATCTATAGGTGTGTGACATTATAATGTGATGGTTAATCCCACTATTTGATTAGAATAGCCCAAAGGTATGTGATTGATGATGTTGACTAGCTGTGTTCCTTCTAGTCTATCACTTTGAAATTATGGCCAGCTAGTGTAGATGGCCCTTGAGTAGCTCTTGAAAATTCAACAAAACAAAAGTCATATTGTTGAGACTCAAAATAAGCAAAAATGCAAGTGGTAGGACATAAGAGCATTCGCTTGCTTCCAAGAGGCATGGTTATACCCTAAGTTGAGTGATAGATTAAACAATGCTGTTAAATGGTCAAACAATTTTTGTTTTTATTTGTTTCTTGTGGTTTTGATGGTTATTTTGGTTGCTATCTATTGTGAGTTGTATATTGATTCTGTTTTGGTATAGTCTGATCTGCAACTTTAGTTAGACACTTAGTAATTGTTTGGCAGTATTCATCTATAACCGACAATCTTTCTGCTCGATTTGTTATCGAGTCCAGTAGTAATTTATTAAGGATATTTACATGTTTTTTGCAATTAGCTTTTTGTAATTAAATTTTGATTTAGTTATGGATATATTCTGATGAGGTTCGAGATCGAAGACAAACCAGACAAATGATCACTGTCAAAATCAAAGCGTACATCAAAATTTAAACATTTGAAACTAATTTCAGATGAACATAAACATAAATTATGAATATTACTGGTATTGTGCTGAGAATGTGTGTCAATGTTATATCATTTAACAGCACACAGTTACTATGTTCTAAGAATTTGTATAGTTTTCTCCCATTAGTCGTTGTGCTATTACATCCAAATTTCTCATTTTTACTAATGAGATCTCCTATTATAATCAGTCTCTGGCTATGTTGATTTAGTTTATTTAATAGATTTGTATCTATAGTCTTAGAAAGGTGAGCAGTAAATACCTGCTACATTTATTATTTGTTAGGTTTATATCCATTGCTATACATTCATTTGTTGCATCAATCACTTTGCGTGTGACTGAAAGTGTTGATTTATATATTAATGCAATTCCTCTATTAGGGCCATTTTTGTTTGATCTATCTTTTCTGATCAATGTATACCCAGAAAATTTAAGACTATTTGAATAGTTAAACATAATTTCAGTAATAACTACAACATGTGAATTTATATGAGATATAAAGTCCTCAATTTCATGCCTCCTGGAAGCAAGACCACCTAATATGTTTGACTGTGAATTTTTAAGTGAAAAATGAACACATGAGTTTTATTATATATAGAATGATTGGTGTGAAATTTTTCTTTGTTGTTGTGATGAAAATGTGATACAATCTTGCTGATTATGTGGGTTTCGAAACTCACTGATAAACTTAAAGGTGTTTTTGCTGCTTCTGTTATTTGGTTATTTTCTGTATTAATATTAGTGCTGCTTGATGGTTTTGAAATCTCAGGTTGTGGTATATTTTGTGGTTTTAATATTTTTTCAGTATTTTTATTTGGTTGTGGTACTGTGATTGTCTTTATTAGAAGTTTACTTCAGCTGTTAGAAAAAATAGTTTGTTACATGGTTGTTTAGTACTGCTGCAGCATAAGTGGGTGTGTATGTAGGTGTTTGTTTTGCATTGTTGTCTGCAGAATTGGTGTTTGTGTTTTGTTATTTTCTGTAATTTGAAGTTGTTTTTGTAATGATATGATGTGTATTGTAAATTGTGATTTTAATTTCTTTATATTTACTGCATCTTTTGTAATTTGCTGTATGTATTTGTTTGTGTATTGTATATTCTGGCTTTAATTTCTTTATATTTACTGGATTCTTTCTAATTTGCTGTATATATTTGTTTACAATTACAGCAGTATGGATTTTCATGTTCCTTGGATATTGTGTATTTTGATTATGTCCACCACAACCCACGTAGTGTGGGCGAGATTTACAGACTGCTGCAATGTGTCCATAGTGCTGGCATTTATAACATTGCATCATGACTACATCTGGCATTTTTGATTCCTCAACCTGAAATCTCTGATATCAGAGTACAATACCATTTGATATTATACTCTGAATATCTTGTATGTCATTTGCATGTACTATGATAATATTAGTTGTTTTTTGTGTTCTTGTCGAGATATTATTCCTTCAAATTTTGTGTAAGAAATGTTGTTCTGTGTTAATTCTTTAATTTGTATGATTGTTTGTGTGGATTTGATATTGTGATGTATGTTATATATTTTCTGTTTGATGTATTTTTATTTAGGACAACCTTTGTAGTTTGCTGTGTTTTTGTTTAAACTTACAACATACAGGGGTTTTCTTTTCTTTTATGCATTTGGTAATGTGATGGTCTCCACCACAGCCCTCATGAGGTATGGGAGATTTACAAGCTGTTGCATCATGTCTGTAATGTTGGCAGTAGAAGCATTACGTTACAACTACTGCAGGTGTTTTTACTTCCTTAACTGTAAATCTCTGATACCAGAGTATAATACCATTTGATATCATATTCTATATATCCTGGGTTTCATTTGTGCATAATTTACATATGTTTGTTTGTGTTTTGGAAGATACTATTCTTCCAACCTTTGTGAAAGATAAACCATGCTCATTGAGTTCATCTTGTACTTGTTCTGTTTTATGGTGTAATGTATACCCTTGATAACAAAGGCTTTGTTATTAGGTTTGATTCCAGGTAGGTGAATTGTGATGTTGTCAGGCTTAAAGGCATCATCAGGTCATTCTGTAAGGAGGCTGTTAAGGTCACTCACCTAAGAACATTTTACAAGAACGCTGCCTTTGTCATGTGTTTAATTCTTGCAATTTTAATGTTTAGTTTACATATATGGATTTCTGTTGCTAATTGTGGTTCATTAAAAGTTCCTGATATGCCTTTGATAATTATTGTGTCTTTTGGTGATTGTTTTTGTGTTCTTTTGCCATGTAATGTTGTATTTGCACTTTGTTTATCTGTATTTTGTGAAGATTTTCTTTTCCAGTATTTGCATCGGTCACCTCAGTGGCCATTCTAGTACTTTCTTCAAAAGCTTTTTTGTTTTCAATTTCTTTTACTGTATTCGCATTAGTCATCTCAGTGGCTGTGCAAGTACTTTCTCCACTTTCTTTTTTGTTTATTGAAGTGTGTGCAATCTTTTTTTTTAGCAATTAAAACTAGTGAGTTAACTGAGTTTTTAAAATCATCCATATCAGAATTACTTAGCTGTTCTAAAGAAAATATCTTTGGTTTATTCTCATAGTTTTTTGCATGTTGTTGATTGTAAGCTTTTCGATGTTCTTGACAGCTCACAGTGGCGATGATGAAGAAATGTTGAAAGAAGGATGTTTATGGATCTCACTTTTCAACCGAGGTGGGTCCCCCTATACTTCTTGAGCAAACTGCCAGTGCAGTTGTAGATCCAGCTGGCCATAAAACTGAGGGATTTATTTTGTTGTTTGCTGTACTTACTTAAGTATAGTAATAATTTTCAGTGTGAAGTAATGGTTATAACGGTTTCTGTAAGAGCCTGACTAAGGTACATCTTTGCTCTCTGAATTTCGGAGTGCAAGTGATTCCTTCCTACAAATTACAATGCAGATGCTTCTACTTTATTGAGAGCTAGATCCTTTTCAGGATCTTGGAGAGTCAGGTTTGATGCTTCCACCTCTTCTCTGCATCTACTGCACTGGTATTTTATTGTACTGTTCAACTGTTGAGCATCACATAAATGAAGGTGTTGCTACCACTTAATGACATTATCATAATTACAATACCCCTTTCCAAGGCCATGCGCATTTATGTTCAACATTCATCATTTGCACTGGTATACATTTTGCTTCATTTATACTAAAGTCTTGCATATTAACAGGCCCTCTCATGAGCCATTGGGGAACATTTTTGTTTAAAAAAAAATCCCTACCCAGTCTGGTTGTTCTTAATTTGAACTGAAGTTTTTTGGACATTTTTATAGGCTAAAAAGAAGGCATTTCCCAGACTCCTTTAGCATTGGAGCTGCCAAAAGTGACTAAAATTCATTAACACATCACAAGCTTAACTGCCAAGGACAAGAAGCATAAAAGTCTCCAAATGGCATGCAGAGGTATTCAGGAACCATTTAGAAACACCTTGGTAGATATTGTGCAGTAAGCTGAGTACAATATTATGCCTGTAGCTGCTTTCAAAGTATTCATGTCTGCTCATCCTTCTGCTTACTATCGTGGGGGCAATGATTACCACTGCCTGGGATGTAACATAAAGTTAAGAACACTGAATGAAGAAGGTGTGCATGGATTCAAAATGTTAACTTGCTTTCTTTGTCCAGTTGACAATGTCACCTCGTCACCTTAACCAGCACCATTAATTTTTCAGCTCTAAACTTTGGTTACTAATTTTATTACAAATTGTGATACAATAAATATATGAAAATCATTCTTACATGCAACGTTATGTTTTTACTGTTAATTTATTTTTGGCTATGTTTAGAAAGAATGTGACATTTCCCATTTCTAAAGTTGTTTTTCTTTTGTATGGGATACCACATTTTACATACTGCCTGGTGGAAATGTTTAACATAGTTAAAAAGAGAACTTTGGAAATTTATAGAAGTCTAAAAGAGATTGCAAATGTTGTTGTTAATTTGTGATATATGAACAAATGTTGAATATATATATATATATACTCAAGCTATGTCTTTTAAACTCATGGAGAGCATAAAATCATATTGAATGGAATATCTGGTGAAGTTGTTAGTGGAGAAATGACAGCAGTTATGGGGCCATCAGGAGCAGGAAAATCAACATTGATGAACATCCTGACTGGATATATGTAAGTTTAAATATAAACACACACACATTAATTTTCAAATTTCATTTGCTACTTGTATACATGTGTAATGGTATATTTAATATACAAAATCTAAATGTAAGAGATTTGAATCCTTACAAAACTATTTTCTTTAAACTATCTTTCATGAGCAGTGGGCTCTCGGGCTGGGCCCCACTGTTGGTAACCTATTTAGTGGGGGTCTGGAGCCTGTGGGGGGAAGGTATAGCCTCATAGACTACATGTGAGTTTGGGAGTATAGAAATAAACTATGTTTATATATATATGTGTGTGTGTGTGTGTCTCATGGGCTATTAATGTGTTTGATCTAAATATCTTATATCTACAAGAAGAACTAGAATTACCATAAAAATAAAACTAGTTATTATAAAATATTTATTGGTAACTGTTGCTCACCATTTACTACTGAATTATATGTTATGTTTCTATACTTTTCCCTTGGCAAACATTTCAATGATGTGGTCCATATCATTTCTGAGAAGGCATACCACCTCATTCTCGATTGACATTATTAATCTGCCTCATCTTTTCTGTTCCATGGTACACCCCAAATATTTAAGTAACTTTCAGTTGTTGAAATTGAATGTTTCGAACTTGCAATAGTAGCTGTGATTGTTAAAATATGTCTTGAAGAACCAACATTTTGTAAAAATGTTGGTTGACATTTTGTATGGTCACCAAAGACATGGTAAGGGCTGTTTTGTAGCTACTTTTTCAACTGTTCAGGTGTATTCCCTTCCTTTACATTTCTTCTGGCATAGTTCTTTAGTCTTTCTATTCTTGCAGTCGGCATGATGTCACAGTCATGTGATTTTGCCTGGTAACAAGATTGCCATTTTGACAGAGGGGCAGACAATAGTGAAGTGAGTACATCTGCGTGTACACAACTTATATAAGTTTACCATATACACATGTTATTGCTGAAGCTGCTGTGCAAATTCTTCAGTTATCATTCATATATTATTATTGTTTAATAGTCAAATTATCAATTGCAATGTGTTATCAATACTTGGAGAAGTTGTTGGCCGAAGCGTTAGCAAGATATCGAATAAAGTTACAATTATTAATTGGGCTTGGTTCTTGTCCCTACCAGCATCCTTCTGACTCTTGAATCAACTACCTGACAGAATGGCCGAGTGTGCAGTACCCAGATGTGTACAATTACCTTGTGTTAAAAAAGTATTGGAAGACAATATTTACATGATAAACAATTGAACACTGAAAATTATAGTCAGATGTTGACTCCTACAGCTTTTCTATTGCCTTGTGTTTTCCGCCGTTGGTAGCGTTCAACCACTAAACTCTCTTCTTCTTTTCAGAAGCTTGTTTTTGTGGGAAAACATGCCCTCAAAAGTAAACTACCAAGTCGAACTAGTTTTTAAAACAATTATTGACAAATTATCTTAACTATCCTCTAGGCTGAGAATAGGATCCCACAAATGTTTGCTGTATGCTTATTATTAAGGCAAGCTGGAGGACTAGCTATCAAATAGAAAGGACGTTCAAGTCTTTTCAACCTGTTATTGGTACAATTGAATACATAACAACTCTTCACCACATCTGCAGGTTTGGGACAACAAAAGTTCATCACAAACACAAATAGTCGTTATGATTACGAGTCTAGACAGTGAGCAAGTGTACAGAATGAACAAAATTTCCTCTTAGTTGTGGTATTCGTTTGCCTCAATTGCTACACAGACATTGCATTGTGGGAGAGCAAATTCCCTGGATGTCTGACCTCAAGAATCCTGGGCTTGCTTAGAAATTTTCCATTTTTGGCATTTGATCTTGAAATTTTGTAAAGTGCTTTTTGTCTAAGATGAATTTTGTCTAAGTATTTATGATATATGTATAAACCACTGAACTTGACTAAAATTTCTAGTATCTTGCATGCATGTGTAATTCTGTGTACGTATTTGGTCTTCTCATAGGTCTGCATTTTGATGTGGTAAGTGTACATTTCTTATCAGAGAATTTACTTGCATGCACACACATTATGCCATTTTTGCAACATGAAAAGGATCACTTATTAAAGTTTTTCCTTATGCCATATGTAAGATATCATTTGAACTTTATTTTTAATTGTAGAAATATTACATGCACTTTCATTATGTAATAATTTTCACATTTAGAAAAGTTTGTCCAGTGTTAGATTTAAGGGTGGATGTTGTTCATCTGCAATTTGGAAAGGTTTGAATTTTGCTATTTATCACTGTGTTGGGTAACCTCCATATAGTGGATTCACTGTTTTCTGTAGAAGTCTGAACTAGAATCTATTTATTAAATGTATTGATACCTTCACATCAAATTATAAAACCTGTAATTGATCATGAAGACCAGAATGTTAAATAAACATAAATTTTTCTTCATTTTGATACATACACTATGCATTTAGATTTGCTTTTCATCCCACCTGTATGACGTATTTTAGTATTTCATTGTTTTTATTCTTTGCCTATCCTGGTCATGACAAGTTTATTCTAGCTTGAGGTGCAATGGTGCTGTTAGCTGGTTGCTCAGCATTGGTTTTATATTTTTTATTTTTAGGATTAGGAGGACTTCCATTTTCATTAACATCCACTTATCTATTGCCGAGTATATTATTTTAAACTACTTCATGCTGAACCATGCTTTACAATCATTTGGATCATCCTGTCTCATTACTCAGGAACAACATCATTGATTGGGAATGGTGGATGGATCAAAACAACACTAGTATTAGGGTACCCATTCCACCACCTCGTCCCCAAGATCCATCTGTTCATGTTCACAGACACATCTCTTCAGGGATGGGGAATTTATATCCAAGGTCAGGAGTTCTAGGATAATTGGACAGGAGTTGAGTTTATCCTCCATATCAGTGTTCTCGAACTACTTACAGTACACTGGACAATGGTTCAAGGTTTGTCTCTCTTGAAAGGAAAAATTGTCATGTTAAATTCCGACAATTCCACAGTGGTATCTCTGATTTCTCGTCAAGGAGGCACATATTCTCAAGACCTTATTTTCGTACCTTGGATCTTCTTTACTGGGCTCATTGCTGTTGTATCAGTCTTTTTAATTGCAAATCACTTGTCTTGATCCAATTGAATTCTTCCGACAGAATGGATGATGAATCATGAGGTTTTTCAGTGGATTTGCTCTCAGTTTTGGTCTCCAATACCTCTTCCTTAAGTGTTAGCAGTAGATGTGTTTAGACAGGACTGGACAGGTTTACATCTGTATGCCTTTCCCCCAACAATTTTGCTATTGCCCTGGTTTCTGATTATGGTTTGTTCCCCTCTCTATCGAGTTATCTTGGTTGCACCATATTGGTCAGTTCAAACATGGTTTCCACTTCTTTGGTATTTTCAGGTAAGTCCTCTGTCTACCTCTTCCACATTGGCAGTCTTTGAGATAACCTCAATCAGACATTCTCCACCCAGGTGTTTGGAAAATAATTTTCATGCTGGGAAGTTATGCAGTCCTTTGTACAACTTCTGAGTTTAACTTCTCTGGTTTCTCTGTATTGAACTAAATCTCTCTGTTGGTCAACCACAGCTTTTTATCAATGGAAAGGGAACACTTATCATCAGTGGTGTCTTAAAACGAATTTCAACCCTCTTCATGCTAATGTGTCTGCTATATCCAATTTTATGACTTTGGTATTTGAGAGGGGTCTTGCTTTGCTTACAGTTTCTTTATATAAGGCATCCTTATCCACTATTTTCTTTAACCTCCAGTATTATCAGATCTACTCAAAACCCTTTGTATTCTTTGACCCAAATGACCTTTTCAATTACCAAATTGAAATTTTACAGTTGTTTTACATGCATTGTCTCATTCTCCTTTTGAGCCCTTAGCTTCATGTTCTTTGTTTCACCTTTCTCTAAAATTGTGCTTTTTTGTTATTGGCTTATGGACGTTGTTGGTTGGAGCTATTTGCAATTCCTGTGCTTTGGACTCTATCATTCCACACTTGTCCTGCTGTACCCCAATAGGTCCTTTCTGTCCAAGACTCTTGATAGCTAGGAAAGGGGAAAGATCCTTATCACCAATCTATTTCCCAGCCATTTCTCACCTTTATGACCACTCCAATCCTGACTGTTGTTTACATCCTGTTAGAGCCCTCGTGTTATGTAGCTCGTACTAACTCATTTTGAGGTAGTAGGAATCGATTGTTCATTCATTGGAATCCTTCTTTTTCCCATTACTGTTACGAGGTGGATTTGTAAATTGAGTTGCATGGCCTATAATGGATTATTGTTACAGGAGAGGAATCTTTTGCATGTCACATCTCACCAGATTTGTCATACCTCTGTCAGTAGCTGCCCGGTTGAATTGCTCTCTGGAAGACATTGTGCGATCTGGTATGTGGATTACTCCTAATACTTTCCTATCTCATTTCTTACATGATCTGGCAGTTTCCTCTTCTGAGAGTTTTTGACTAACCCCTGTAGCTATTTTGACCACATTTCTTAGATTTTCACCAGAGGTATTTTCCGCAATCATATACTTTTTTTTCCAGGGTCCCTTTATTTTTTCACTGGATCCAACTTTGTGGCTAGTGTTGCTCAGGCAGGTATTCTTCCTTTTTTTAATTCCACACTAGCAAACACTTTCGCTATAATTACTACAGGTTGCAACAAGCTCTGTCAAAATAGGGTGTTCCATAAGACCATCTGAACACCTGCTAGATGGTATTACCTTATTATTATGAATGCCACTCATGGACTATCATGAGTAAAGCTAAAAGGGATCCTGCTCATCTCTGCCGATCTTCAGGTTAAATAAATTAGGAATGGTTTGCTTTTAAAAATGTAGGGAACTTAGTTCACCTATTGCACAGTTTCTAGAGCACTGTTCTTTAGGATTACCCAATGTGTATTACCCCCCCCCCCCCGACTCTACTCGTGGAACTTTGCAGTCCTTACCACCCCAGTTCAATTCAAATGTGTCCCTCCACTCTTGGAGAAGAAAGCAAAGTTGGGGGCCCTCCTACTTGGGCTCTTGGATGTTTTCCCTTCCAGATGTCAGTAGGAGTGGCACTAGACTCCGTGGGAGCCTACTAGTCTACTAAAACACGGTGAAGACAGGTCACTTTGTAAATACTAAAAGTCAGTTTTATATTATTGAATATGGTAATATGAGTGCATGTGCACCACATCATTGTAATTTCTGTATTATTTGCCAGGAATGAATGAAAGGTCAATATAATAAAAATAATAAATATATATATAAATGTATAATATTATGAGATTTAAGCTATTTAGTCTAAACATTCATGTTTTGATGTTATAATTTCTAATTATTTTAGAATGAAAAAGGCATAACTTAAAGTTATTTTATAATTTTTTTAATGTCGTTATGAGATCTTAAAATGAAAATTATTTTGCATGTTGGATAGGCAACATGTGACAAGAAAAAAAAGGCACGAGAAAAAAAACTTTACAAACCTTAAAACTTAATGAACAAAAAATGGTGATTTTTTGCATATGAAACCATTGTAATGTTTACTGATAATCTGCCAAATTTTTTTAATGTATGCTTGCTAATTTAAAAGTTATAGCATGAAAACTATAACAAACACAAAATGGTTACGAAGTTGGTTCCAGGGACTGAGCTCATGCTGGAAGAGATAGTTCCAACCTTGGGTTAAGGAACCTCGGCTATCTGGTTGGGGCTGGCCTATATTGACAATTACTCGTATTCTATTCCACCTTTGATATAGGAACTGATTTCCTGGGGAAGAGTATACCTGTTCTGGATCTAGTGCGTTTCCCCCACTCTTGTACCATCTTTATCTTGGTATACTTCTGTTCTATACAAATGCTTTCTGTATGGTTCATGCCTACACCAGCCCCTCCACCTTCTCAGTGTAGGATTCTAGATAAAGTGTCAGTGGAGGGAGGTATGTTTTGGAAGTTAACATTTTCCTAAACTGAAAATGTATTTCCAATAATACTTACCAAGGCTGAAACTCTTCCACCCTACCTCCCCCACTAAAAGTCGGTTAATGTCTCGAAAAAGTGATTACATTATCTGAATGAGGTGCTTATATACAGTACCTAGATATAGAGTGCATTGAAGGTAGTGGAGTAATGTGGAAGTTAAAATTTGTCAAGGGCAATCAAGTGGGGTATAAAAGACTGGAGCAAGTGTTTTCAATGCTCAAATGGGCAAAGAGTGGAAACCTTGGAGATCGAGAAATAACTATAGTGTCAGCAGAGGTAAGTATTGGAAATACATTTTCAGTGTAGGAAAATGTTAGCACTAAAAACTTCCTATTTTATCCTTCAGGTAACTTGGATTAAAAAATATAACAATCTGTTTTTATTAGGACAAAGGAAGTGGAAATACTTAGGGGATTATTAGTGGTAGATTTGTTGTAGATAAACTGAGGAAAGTTGAACTGTTGTACATATGAACACCAAGTAGAAATGTAGCATTTCAAAGATGGGAATTTTCTATCTTACTTAACAGGGTAGCATAACATTCTTCTAGAACACAATAACAGCAACTTTTACAACAGGGAAATTCTTATTTAAATTATTACAGCATTTTGATCCATGGTATTGGGTCATCATCGGGTAATAGTTACATTCAGTAAACCAGTTTGAATTTAAGAGAACATTACAAACTCGTGATGGGAAGGACAAAGTTTTAGGTGATGTTGGGTTAGCTTTTTAGTAAAATGAGGTGAATAAAATATTAATACAGATAAAGGGGATTTCTAGATATTTATGTAGTATTGTTTCAACTATTTTCTCTGTTGATGTCTGGATCTGTTTAGGTGATATTTAGCCTTGTTTTCAGTGATAATATGTTTGGTTTCTTTAAGATGTTCAAAAATGTGAGGATCTTTTAAGATGTTTCTTAAATCTGATGTTCATTTCTCTCTTGGTTCTTTGATGTAAAAGTTTACAAAAGTTGTATTTGATTTTGTAGTTGATTTAGTTGTTTTTCTCTCAGCAGGGTAATTGTTAGTAATAAGGTTCTTGATTTTAATTCCTGCCTCTTGTATGATTATGGTATTTATGTCATTGTTGTTTGTCTTCATTACTTCATTTTACATATCCATAATCCAGTTAATTTTCATTGATTGGTTTGATGTAAAGAATCGTAGTGGTTGTGAAGCTGTTTTCATCTTTAAGATTTTGTGCTTTTTCAATAGACATTTTTTCTGGCTGTGTTTTTTAAATTTTTCTGGCTATTTTTTTTTCATGAAGATCTCAAAAAATTTTTGTAGTTCATTGTCTAAATTAGTTGCAGAGTATATATTAAATGCTATTTGCATAATACAGTTCAAAGTTCTTAGTTTTGGATGTATGGGGTGTGCAGATTTTCAGTTAAGGTATTGTTCTGAGTTTGTTGCCTTGCTATGGACTTAGTCTTAAATCCTGACTATTTATTATTATGTTGATGTTTAAAAAGTTAATGGAGATTTTTCATTTTTATTTGCTTAAATTCTTCACTATCCATATTCATTTTATTATTTTTTAAAAATTTCTTGAGATTTTAGTGTACTGCATATAATTACTTTCTGTTGTAAATCAATTTACAGTAGATTCTTTGACAAGAAACTGCATAAGTACAATGATTATGTTAACATTTTTAAGAGCTGGCTTTGACATTGTTTAAAAAGTTAATATTCATAAATGTAGTTTTATACAAATAAAATAAACCTATCTTTTTAATTGTTGAAATATATGTAGCAATAACATGAATATAGAAAATTCATACTAGGATTTCAAAATGAATAATACAGGTTTATTGTAGTGTAGTTACTATTTCTTTTTATGGTATTACTTGCTATATTTCAGTTTGTGGGTGAGCTTTATCAAAAGTTAAGAGAAGATATTTAGTGATAATATAGTGTATGCGTGATGGATATAATTAAAATATTTTTTACAGTATATATAGTTAAGTATCTGTATATTATTGCAAAGCTAATATTTTATTAATATTTGATAGAACTCATAAACTGTGCAGGATGTTTAAGAATACAAAAAAATGGAATAATTTATTCTATCTTGAAAAACACAGTGTATTATAATTTTTTTTTTTTTCTATTATTATATACAGAACAAAGCATGTGGAAGGAGAGACCCTTGTTAACAACACCCAAAGAGAGCTTAGTTCTTTTCGCAGGCTTTCTAGCTATGTAATGCAGGATGATTTTCTTCTCCCTCAGTTAACAGTAAAAGAAACATTGACAGTTGCAGCTAATCTCAAGATACCTAGTGGTGTTCCTGTCAATTATAAACAATTGGTTGTAAGTTTTCCTAACTCAAAGTTTCAATATTATGCTTATTCAAACATGATTTCTCTGAAAGATACCTTTGAGAGTAAAATTAAGAGATTGTTTTTATTCCAGCAGTCCATGGATGAAAAATAGTAAATCATATAACAAATAATTTTGTCCATATTTCCATCTTATTATGAGAATGTGATACTTTTATATGAGAATTAATATTAAGAATACTCAAAAATATCCTTGCACAAAAACAAACTACCAATTCACCCAAGTGGCAAAAACAAGCAATTTCTTAAATTTGGACTTGTATCATGTACTTAATACATTAACTACATATAAGGTATACTTTAAAATTCAAAAACATCTAAAATGGGGTTGAAAAAATATATCATTTAAAAACGTTTTGCTACTGTTAACATAGCTAGTGTTTCTGATTATTACTGTCTTTAATAATTTCAACTTCCAGTAATAGAAATTAGTGTTCCATCAATCAAAATATTACCATTATGGTTTTAAGTATTATTTTGATTCATTGACTTTTTTAACCTTAGTTGATTATTGTCACAAAAATATGAATATAATTAAAATTAGGGTTTCCAATTATTAATACTTTTGATTATTCCAACTATTCAAGTATTCAAAACATAGTAATTATGTTTGTTTTGTAGCACAAAGCTACTCAATGAATTATCTGTGATATGCCCACCATGGATTGTGAAACCCAATTTTTAATGCTATAACTTTTTTTTTTTTAATTTTATCACTTCAAGTCTGTTCAGATTTAGGTTAACATGGCATGGTGATTAGGGGTGTTGTCTCAAGAAGATTTGAGGGTCTTGGATTCAATTCCCTTTGCCACCAAACTTGCTTACACTTGCAAGCATTATACTTGTTTCTTTATTTTTGAATTATGGCAAAGCTACTAAGACTATCTTCCACCATCCCTATTTTTGGAGTGTCGACTAGCATCCACCATCAACTATTGGACTACTTTAGTGTTATGTAAAGCATGCTGACTAGCATCCACTGTCAACTATTGGACTACTTTAGTATTATATAAAGCATGCCGACTAGCATCCACTGTCAACTATTGGACTACTTTAGTATTATGTAAAGCATGGACTGCTGACTAGCAATCACTGTCAACTATTGGACTACTTTAGTATTATGTAAAGCATAAATCTACTGTTTTTTACATTGTGTTATGTTTTTAGTGTATAATTGCATAACTTTATTATTTAATATTGAATAATGTTAGAAATGTGTTTTGACATTGTATTACATTGTAATTCATAATTTGCATATTCTTATTCTTTAATAAAATAAACTATAAGTTTATGTAAAATATATAGAGGAGGAGAATGCACAAATGTTGTATACTGAAAGTTTGAAAAATTGGTGGCTGTTTTATTTCTGAATAATATTAACTAATAAAATTTGTTGTTTGTAAAATTAGGGTTATTGTATTTTGTGCATAAAACTGATGTATTAAAAATACATAATTGTATATACAATTCCAAAAATATATTCTTTCACTACAACTTAAGGGTTTAGAAGTTCATATATTACTGTGAAATCGAAAAATCTTACAACATTTTTATTATTGATTGATTTCAAAATTTTTTATTTCATTAAGTTGAATTTTTGTACTTTGTATCAAGAAAGCATAACTGACTTGTATAATGTATGGTGTATATTAGTGAATAATAATTCTGTAAATAACTATTAACTTGCATATAAACCAACTATAATTACTATTCCATACTGTACTTTAATCAATAGTCTATTTGGACAACTGTATTTAAAACAATGATTCAGTTTATAATCCATAAGTCTTATAGGAAGTAAATATGCTACAAAAAGATAAAAAGGAAACAATGCATATTTGCTTAAAGCATAGGTATGAAACCAAAAAAGTGAGAGTAATTTTGTTCTTGATTTGATTGAATGGAAGAAAAACATTCTCTACTCTGATAATCATAGACAGTACAGTGTTATAATATTAAATAAATTAAAAAATTGGGAAAAACATCCTATCTACCCACTCTAATTTTTCCTACAGCGTTGTGGTGAAACTGAATTAACTCTAGAACTACATTGGATAGGTGCACTTGATAATTGAATATTCTATTCAGATATCTATTATGGAGCAGTACTAAATCTCACTAACTGAGCTAATGTTAGATGAGATGAAGAGACTGGACACAAAGTAAACAACAAAGTGCACAGTCTTTATTATGACAAAGAAACAAATGCATCGTGTGTACTTACAGTTATAATTGCCGTGGATGATCTCCTTTACTGGTTATTTTATTCAAACTGCTCAAGTTGAAAGGCACTGCTATCAACATCCTTATACATCATGTATTAAGCAATGTTCTCACTGAATAGTAACTGATATTATATACTTTCAAGAACAACAAAGAAACAAAGGTTACTTGAAATAAGATCAACTTAATGATTTTCTGACCACGTGTTAAAGTGAAACCAGCACATATTCAAAACAAAGAATTAATTCAGAATAAATGTTTTAATAGTACAAGAAGATATAAATACATGACATATTCAAATATCACATTTCATGTCTTCCCTACTTCACGCTCATTCTCAAGCCAATAATTAGCTTTAATTTTAAAATCAATAACCTTTACGTTCTGATTGATCAAGAATCATGTTGATTCTTTCTCACTCCCAAAAATGTGCTACAAAGAAGTTAATACAATAGTACAAAAATACCATTTAACAAAGAACTGATACTACTTTAAAAACAAATCCCTTTAAACATACATGTACAAGTAAGACACACACACTAACAGAAAAACCCTTTAACATAGAAATGTTACAATATAATACAACCCATAACACTAATAATGAGAAAATAACAGTGCAAGTGAAAGAACTCCTTAACAATGATAATGAATGCATCAGGTCCTTTAATCTTGTGTGTATGGCTGGTTCAAAGTGCACATGTCATGATCTTTTACAGAGCTGCATTCAAAATTGAATTATTATCAATATATGTCATACTTGACTAACAATTTGTGGTCTATGGGTTCAAACCTTGTTACCGAACATGCTCCTCATTCAGCCATGGGGGCATTATAAAGTGAAGGCTAATCCCATTATTTGTTGCTAAAAGAGCAGCCTAAGAGTTGGCAGTGGGTAATGTTGTCTATTTGCCTTCCCTCAAGTTTATTGCTTCAAAATTACTGATAGTTAGAGCAGATAGCACTTGAGTAACTATGCACAAAATTCAACAAAAAAAATGTGGATAAACTTGCCTTCAAAACATAGTTTATAGTAAAAGTTTTATATAATTTGAAAAGGAAATATTAATAAAGAATTGTCAACCTTTATTTCACTGTGTCACATGTCTGTGCACTTGGATTATATATCTTCAGTAATACAGCTTTCAGGGTGTCAAACCAATTGGAAATAAAATTATACATGATTACAAGTAAGAATATCAAATTTGAATCACCTACTTTGTTGATTTGCTGAGATATCAATAAATTTGTCAACCCCACCACAGAAGCCCCTCTGTTCTGTTTTAATTAAGTAAATAATTATCTCTGCTGATGAACATGTTTATAACCGATTTAAATAGCAGATTATTTTCTACATAAATCTTATGATCTTGTGTTTGTTTTTGGCAAGTTTAGAAGAAGAGCTTGATTGTTGCTGAGCATAGATGTTGCTTTGAGCAGAAATGGAATCTTTTAACATATTTATGAATAAGTTAGAAAGACAGGTACATTATAGTGATTTTAGGACATTCTATTCTGTTGACTGATGTATCTTTTGTGTTCAAGAAATGCATATTTGAAAGTTACATTAGTTTTTGTTTGTACAGTTGAACTTAGAGAAAAAAAGATCTAGTAGAGTTATGTCTTTGAGAACAAAAGTTGATATAGTCCATGCCATGGAGTATGTTGGTGCATGAGAAACTGTTAATGTGTTCCCACTCTCACTTATTCTTTTGTATGGATAAAAACCTCTTTCATTGTATAAATCAGGCAATAAAAGGACCTGACAATTGAAGAAAATGACAACCATTGCTTTGCAAGCTATCACAAGGTTCCTAGTACTATCAGCTAACTAAATTTAAGGCCATGTTAAGACCAAGCTAAAGACAAATTTAAGAGCTGTAGACATGTATATGTGTGTGCTGTTTATTGGATCACATCGTACTGCAACATGAATATTTATGAAAAATACATCATCATTGAGAATGCACTAATTTATTATGTTGAATTTTGCTTCAACATACTCTAAGAAGCCAGTAAATTTCAAAACTAAAAAAAAAAAACAATCAAGCAGGAAATGTGTTAAGCACAACTGTTTGCACTGAACTAATGCACACACCTTGCAATAGGCTTCTTACTTACTATATCAGACCAACCAATGGTTGTATTGATGGTCCTCCAGCCACTTATTATAGAACACGCAATTTCCCATGATTGCATTAACATTTCAATACAAACAATAATTCACAAACTGTGATTACGGTGCTTAAAGTCTCGGGAATCAAATAGTTCATAACCATGGTAGGCCTAGTCCTGCCATTTGCATTAACAGCACTATTAAAAGAAGCCACACTCAATTTTGTGATTCTGGTCCAAGTAATAGGCCTAGACAGAATGAACACATAGCAAACTGAATTTAGTACTTACAATTTTGTGTCAGCTTAGACAGAATGAATGCAAAATACTGTAATGCTGTATGGCATCAATACCCACAGAAATTAAATTTAAGACTTTTTTTTTTTATAAACCTCAAAAGACAAAACCTGTGAAGTTAAGACTTTTTAAGAACTGCTAGGAACCCTGTATCAAGTAATGTTCACATGACTGTTTACATACAATACTGATTACCACAAAACTAGCATAGCTGATGCTAGCAGATATAATGCATTACCATTTTGCACAAATGGAGAGTTTGAAAACTCAGCTGAGGTCGAAATAGTGTATTTAACTGTTTTACACTCACAAAAAACAAACCTATCATTCTATAGGTAT